ACCCTTGTCGTAAAGATACGGGCTATGCGATGGGAGTCAAACCCGCAGATTCGTCCAAATCTCCGCCTACTTGAGTTATTATACGTATTTCACGAGGATTATTCATCACGGCGGTGCTTTTCTGTAGAGATACGGCTTGTAGAACAACCCTCTCACAGTGCCAACTTATCATGGACTACCAAAATCCTTTACTTCTATCTTTGATCTGGATAGCACGACCCTTTCCTTAGCGATCAGAGGCACATCTTTGTGGATTTTACCTGAAGTACGGCAGCGTTTTTTAAGTTCTTTTATGAATGTTTGAGACCTAAAGTTGCTGGTACCAATTCCCCAAATAACGTATTGTATTTCTTTTCTAGGCACATCTATACGAGTCCATGGTCTTCATAGCGCAAACCTTTCGTAATTACTATAAGGCGCCACCGTGCAGTAGAGTTACGTAGTTTGCATTAAGCATATCAAATAACTGCAGTAGACCAGCCACGCAAATCCGTGGTTTTACCTTCGACTGCACTTACCGTAACTTTGCTGCAAAGCCCTATCGAGTGAAGCTAATGTAATACCCATTATCAGCGTGATAAACCCCTATAAGTGAGGTTTCATCGAGATCTGAGTGTTCATTTGGTGTTAAGAATTATTGCATACTACTGTACTGAGCATAATTGTGTGACGTCATCGATCGATACTACTTGATATTCTTGCCGCTAGGATTTCAAGGTTTTCGCCGAAACTTTGTCAAGTTGGGTTGTTGAAGTGCTGATAACGCTCATACTACCCCGTTTGCACGGTAGAACCCCAAGGTTACGGTAGGTGTGATATCTAAAAAGTGTTCTACTAAAATTATTCAACATGTTGATCACGAATTACGGTAGTTGTAATCTCGAATTCGTCAATGGGTGAATATTTGTTCGTCTTAGTTTTTCTTCGCCTATATCAGCAAACAATAAATTAGCCAGTTTTAACATCTGAGTCAAACATACCGCCACTAAAGTTTGCTATACACAACTGTAGAGCAGCGGATTAAATAAGGCTGACGCTTTTGTTCTATGACAACTGAGTTTGATAGGGTATCATCTGCTGAGACAAACTGTCAGGTGATAACCAAATCATACTTGGGCAAGGCACTTTGACGAATACGACGTAGACCTTGAATCGTCGCATTCCTTTTTAGTTGTTTTTTGTCGGAATCAACGACAAAATCTGAGGAAAAAAATATCAACCAACTTCTGCACTTTCGCCGAGTTGAGTCTAACCTGCCTTTATTTTTGAAAAAAACTTACTTTGAAAGAAGCTATGACGATGCGACGCT